AGTGATGAGCCAGGCTAGAAGACCTAGAACCAGATGTATGCATTCTGACTATATTGTAAAATTGGAGGCACTATAAGATCCACCATCTCAGAGAATAGAAGACTAGACAGGGACAGAGACCAATGCGCTAAGTGAATTAGGACTGCAACTCCATGCTAAATGCTAGTTAACTGTCAGAGAAAGAAGATTTAAACAACAAAAAAGAGTTATGATGCAAGTAAAAGTTTGAATTAAGTATTTATAAATAGCATCTGATTATATTCAAATATGTGCTAATTACAAAATAAACATCATAGACGGATATTTAATTAACAAGTGAAACCTTATTATTTTACAAATACATTATAAATTCATAAGACAAAAGGTGGTGTTGATAGTAAAAATGATTCCTGATATTGAAATTAAAACCACTTAAAAACATGAACAATAATAACACTGAAAACATCTATAAACTAAATTTCCATATACATACCGTGATTATGATCTCTATAATATAATCGAGAATCCCCGCAAGCTAGGAAGGAAAGGAAATATTTACAATTAAAAAATATTAATAACATCTATTAATGCTAGAGTTCATGGTAAAAAGTGCCTTAAAAAAATATAACAATACAATATTACTGGCTTAAAACTATGAAGGACATACATTATTTTTAAATCCTGAAATCAGATCAAAAAGCAGTTTCCCACAAGGTGATATACTATCTCAGTTACGGTAGTATCAGATAATTAATTCTTTACTGTATTACACTTGATATTGCAGGTTTTATAGACAAGCTTGTGGGTATGACATAGCTATCCTTATTGTAGTAATTATCTTAATGTATTTTCTAATCTACCCAAAACATCAACAGATACTCTGGTGGACTGGTTGAATCACAATAGACAGAACATCAAACCACAAAAGTCAATGTCTATATCTCCATAAAGAAGAAAAAGGTAGAGAACAAACCACTAAATTCAATTATGTCAAAATTAACCTGAGCACGGAGCAAGGAGGCTAAATACTTAGGGGGTTACTCAGGATAACAAATTATAATTATAATATTATACTTACTTACTGACAGGTGGACCTTGGCCTCCTTCACGATCTTTTTCCAATCCTCTCTATCCTTCATTCTTATCCTCCAATTTACCACTCCCATTCCCCTTAAATCCTCTTCCATGTCACTTTTCCAACACTTTCTCAGTCGCCTTCTTTTTCTTTTTCTGGAAAATTCCACTCTAAGTATTATTTTTGTTGCTTTGTCATCTGGCAGTCTTTCCACGTGTCCTAGCCAACTAATTCTTCAAGCTTTAATAAAGCGTACAATATCCTCATGCTTTAATAGTTCATCCAGCTTCTAATTTGTCCCTATCCTCCACTCTCCTTGTATGCATAGGAGGCCAAAAATTCATCTCATTTTTCTTTCTAAAATCCTTAGTGTCTTCTGGTCAGCTACTTTCAGCATCCAGGTTTGGCTCCAGAGCACACAACTGGTGGAACCAAGGATTTGTACATTTTGAGTTTTGTGACTCTGGATAGGAGTGTCAGTTTAAAAAGCTTTAACATACCAAAGTACGCTCTATATCCTGCCATGATTCTTCCTCTTATTTCCGGGCTAATCAAGTTTTCGCTATTGACTTGCGCCCCAAGATACGTGAAACTTTCCACTGCTTCAAAAAAGTATTCCTGGAAAACAAAATCTCTGGCTTCCTTCTTGAATCCGAGGTCAAGACTACCATATACTTTGTTTTCGTGTCGTTAACTATTAATCCAACCTTCTTACATACTACAACCAATGTTGATAGAACCTCAACTATTGCCGCTTTGCTTCTACCTATAATTGCAATGTCATCAGCATATCCCAATTCTAGTTCGGCATGCTAAATTACAACCTGGCATGATCCCTTTAACTGCATTATGTAGCGCCAAGTTAAATAGAATTGCTGAGAATGCGTCTCCCTGCTTTACTCCAGAATTAAATTGGAAGATTTCACTAACCTGATTGCCAATTAGTACTTTAGCTTGTGTGTTCAGCATAGTCATTTCAATTAGGTGAATTAGTTCACACGGGATATTATATTCACGCAATGTACCAAAAAGTTGGGTTCTTTTAATTCGGTCAAAGGCTTGTTTAAAATTTATAAATAGTATATGCACATCAATATCATGCTCATAACACTTTTCGAGCACTTATTGTAAAATAAAAATCTGATCGCTAGTACCTCTGTTAGACCGAAAACCATACTGGTCTCATTGTCATTTTCATCACATTCGCTGTCATTTAATATCGCTTTAAAATACTCTGACCATCTATTCATCACTTGTGTACCCCCTCCCAACAATACGCCATCCTTACTATGACAAACATTCATTTTGGGCCTAAAACCGTTTCTCATTTTCCTGAAGGCCTGATACAATTTTCTTTCCTCCCTATTTTCCCACATTTCTTCCATATTTTCAATCCTTTTTCTCAGCCATTCCCTCTTTTCCCTTCTACAGATCTTATTTGCTTTCTTCCTACTAACCATATACCTATCTCTGTTATTCCTGGTATCCCACTGAAGCATCTTCAGCCTATCGACATTCTTTTGTTCAATTGCATTTGCACTTTCTTCATTGAACCATTCTGAATTTACCCTACTACTTGTCTCTCCGAAACCCTGCTCCGCTGCTCCTTTCACCATTTCTCTTATAGCAGACCACTCATTTTCAATGTCATCCTTCACATCACATTATTGCAGTTTATCTGTCACCTCGTCCTCAAAACTCTTCCTTGCTTCATGACACCTGAGTTTTTCCACATTCCATTTTTCCTTTCTACTCTGCGGCCTTTTTTAGCACTTGCAATCCTATGCCTAAACAATGCTCTCACTAGAAAGTGATCACTATCACAGTTTGGCCCTCTGCATGTTCTGACATCAATTATGTTGGATGCTTGTCTTGCGGAGATTAGTAAGTAATCAATTTGGTTCACATTTCCTCTAGGTGCTTTCCATGTGCCAAGATGTATATTCCTGTGTTAAAAACTAGTGCTCTTAATTTTGAGGTCTGTTGTGGCGCAAATTCAGCCAATTGGTGCCTATTTTCATTTGTTGTGTTGTACAGTGTAAATTTTCCTGCCACATCTTTGATGTAATCCTTTTTCCCAATCTGGGCATTAAAATCTAGGATTACCACTGCATCATATCTAGGAGTTAAATCAAAGATCCTAGCCAATTTATCATAAAATTCATTCTTTTCTTCCTCGTTTTTATCTTCTGTGGGTGAGTGCACGGAGATAAGAGTTATATTTCTAAATTTTCCCTTGAGCCTTGCCTTGCAGATTCTATTGTCGATAGGTTCATAATCAATTAAGGAGCCTCTGAGTTTCTTACTTATTATAAGTCCTGTTCTAAGGTGACTTTTTCTTTCTTCTGATCCAATATAAATGAGAGAGTAGTCCCCCTTATTTATACGTCCTTGCCCCTTCCATCTTATTTCCTGTAATGCAGCTACGCCAATATTAAATGTCAATACTTCATCAACAATTTCTTTCATTTTTCCTGGCTGAAGCATAGTTCTTATGTTCCATGTAGCCGAGGTCAAACATTTCCAGTTTTCCTTTTCTCGCCAGGGTCGTTGCCATTATGTCTGTCCACCTCTTCTGTGATCGTAGATTTCGTAACCAGAAGTTTTTTACAAGATGGGGAGGAGGGGTTGGCCCTACACTAAACCCTTATACAAGGAGGACCGGTGGGGCTTTGATTTTGGGGTGCCCTCCCCTAGGAAGTTGCCTTCACTTTGACTGTAGAGCTCTCCATGCCCTTCCTCAGTAGACAAGCTAACAATTATAATAGTATAGGCATATAGAAAAATAGAAAATAGAGCATTCAAGTGCTTATGGGTCTGTAAAATAGCAGTAGACAAAACTTCGAGGCTAAACCAAAAATGAACACAACAGGCATTAGATCCATGTTACTAAAAGAATTTAGGTCCATGGACTTTAGAGCAAGAATGCTATAATTACAAAATAACATTTTTTATTGTTTAGGGAAAAATAATATTTCCTTTACTTATTAACACATGTTTGTATTGTTTATTAGTTTATTTTTTCATGTACAAAAGCCAAAAGGCCTCCACTGTGTTTGGGCTAAAGGGTAGTAAAAGTAAGTTTGTATTTGCATTTATTACTCTGGAATCCATGCATATGTCTATAGTGCTCCCTCAGTAAAAAAAAAAAAAAATAATAGAATCCAAGTACTTCTGGTTTCAAAATGAATGTCATATAATAAATAACAGAAACTAATAACTAGACCTACAGAAGCCTGGTTCAGAGAAAAACCAAAAACACAGTGGAAAAATACCAAAGAGAAGAAAAAATACTTCACCAGAGAAAGAAGAGGCAATATAAAAGAAAAGAATTAGAGAGAATGGAAATCTTAAGTAGAGAAAAACAATTTCAGGAATTCTAATAGAAGTAAATGTTAGTAGAAAACCGATTACTCCAAAACAGCTGGTCTAATTGAACAAGGATGTGAACTTCTTGGTATGTAGAAGTTCTTGGTACGAGGAAAAATTATTTCCCCAGATTTCTCCTCCAAGCAGAGGCAGAAACAGAGGGTGAACCAACTGAAATAAATCAAATTACACCAAGTGTAGACCTCAAACTGCCAAATGGAGAAGAAATATAGGAAGTCATTAACAAATTAAAAAATCATAAAATGGCAGTTATAAATGAATTTCTGTTTGAGTTACTCAAATATGGAGGCAAACAGCTCATTAAAGTCCTTCAAGAAATCCATCCTAATACCCCATTATAAGTCAATAAAACTGATAAAAATTATCATGTAATATTAATAAAAACTTTGGAATAAGTTCAATTTATCTTATCGTTATCGAATCGATAATTTATCGTTATCGAAAAGACAAGTTGAGCTATTAGAACTTTTATCATACTTTAATATATATACATAAAACCAATTAAAACACTGACACTAAAATGTAATTAGAAATAGTTCAAGAAATTGACCAGTACCTGTAGTAAGTATTGTAGATGCTTGTGCTAAGTCTTGATACAAATGATAATTAGGCAATAAAGTTGTAACAGTGACTTCTTCAGTAGTACATCTTATGTCTGCTTCTTCACACAAAAGACAAAAGCAACTCATTGCTATAAGAACAGCTTCAATATCAATACTCCATAAGTACATAAAGAAAACAACCTAAAAAAAAAAATGTATTAACATATTTGTAAATTTGGGTAGGCAGAGATAACATTTTTTCCAACTTCTTCAATAACCTTACTAATTCACAGTTATTATTGTTAATATCCAAGACAAGATTCACAATCAATAGTCATAAAATACTTATTTGTTGCAAAATACATAATTATAAATTTTTTAAAACAATTTTTAATAAAATTCCTTTGTCCATAAAACATAAGCTGTTGCTTAACAATAAAACTTTATCATATTTTATTTGTTCAATTAGTAAAAATTAAAATATTAAACTCAATAATGAGAGGGGAACTGGTCAACCAATATCCCATGATATGAAGGCACGGAGGTTTAGATGGGTGGGGCATGTAGCTCGTAGCAATCCATCTGGAAGCCTCTACGTAACAATGAATGCCTCAATAGAAGGCAAAAGACCACGTGAAAGGCCAAAAAGCAGATGGATAGATAGAATCAACAAAGATGCTATAGAGCTGCATGCAGATAAATCGAAAGAAATAGCCCAAGACAGGCAGAGATGGAACAGGCTTGTTAAGGCAGCAAAAGATCTACATGGTCTGTAATGACAACAGAAAAAAAAAAAAAAAAAAAGGAGGAGGAAGATAATGTTTTTTTCAAAAGGGTAGCAATAATTATAATTTTAACATTTGATTACTTAGCAACATCTTACAAACCGGAAAGTTGTGAGTTCAAATACCTGGATTCATTATGAAATTAATACCATACTCCTCATGATATATAGAGCCAACCAACCAAAATATGTAATTAAATAAATCAAGATTACCTCAAGTTTGATATGAGCTTGCTTGCATATGGCAATATGGCTTCCAACATTTGCATAATCCTTATGATGAGACAAAAATTCATTCCTGCATACCAAAATTTCTCTAAGCCATTTTAATATATCAGTATAATTCACAATTTGGTGTTGAATTAATTTTTGAGATATGGAAAAAAGTACCTGTGAACTGATAAATTTACAAATCATAAATCAAAATGGTTTTATAATAAAAAATAATTGATACGACAAATTATAGCGAAAAATGACTCGAGAAGTAACTTACCTCACATCCCAAAAAGTATTGATAGGTGCTTCAGGGTTCCAAACTTCTATCTTTTCTGGCTGATGAAGAACTAGAAGAGCTTCCATAGCTTCATGAGCAATATCAGGCATACTTGGTTGATGAACTAGGCTTACAAGACCGTTGATAAGCTCCAAAGTAGAACTTTGTATTTCATGGCCAGCTTTACCTTGGTTCTGGAAATCACATGATTAAACTTAATTAAAAGTGATCATTACTAAGACTTCTGTTATTTCATATTTAATAGTAGAAAAAAATTAATATACTGTCAAAAATGTATTTGTTTCAGAGAAAAAGAAATCTGCAATCCCTAATACATACATACATATACATATATACATTGAAAACTAAATGGTTGACTGTTGCATATTTTAGAGGGGTGCCGGTCATAAAGAAACTAAAATAGTGGAAAAAACTATTTTATTTGAAGCCAACGTTTTGACACGACTTTGCAGATCTTCTTCAGGGAGATTACTAGTTTTAACTGAAACTCCTTGCTGAACACACCCCCCTGAAGCAGACCTACAAAGTCAGGTCGAAACCTTGGCTTCAAATAAAACAATTTTTTTTCTCACTATTTTAGTCTCTTTAAGACCGCCACCCCGAACCATATCCTTCCTCTAACTTACATACCATTGTTTTGATAATATTAAATTTAACAAATAAATAATCATTAAATTTTCTGTCCCTGTTTGGGGCTAGCCAAATGTTCTGATTTTTATTATAAAATGAATTAACTAAAAGATATTTAATTAAAAATTGTATATGTTATTTTAAATTTAATGGATGCTGAGGGCTTAAATGATTCATGGACTGTGAATGCTAAGGATCAAATACACGACATCCATACATCAAATATTCTATTTAATTTTTTTTATCTGTTTAAAGGCATCAACCACAGGGTCATTATCGCCTTATTTCGATAAGTATTAAATTTCATTATCCAATTTCACATGTTTCAGTAAATGTAATAACAGGCCGTATAAAAATAAATGACTGTTTTTCAACCAAATATTTGTATTATTATTTCTTTGATATAAAATACAATTAATACTCAAACTATAGTCCATTGTTATCTACTGTTGTTAGCCATCTGCTAGTTAATAGCTGGATCCCACGCTGATACCATTCTCTGCGATGGCTGTTCTTGGACCGCAATTTCAACTTCAGCAAAATTATTAAATTTTTCCCCTTGAAGAAAATGGGCCATGGATCTAAATAAGTAGTAATCCGATGGTGTGAGGTCTAGACTATATGGTGGATGAGACGTGATTTTTTAAGGCAAGGGTTTTTCAATAAACTTTCACTAATTTGTAACCTCTTAGCAGATTGCTGAGGAGTAAGTTCATGAGGGATCTACTGTTCTTTTTCACCTTCACCATGAAGAGTAGATGGCGATTAACAGTATCTTTTGACACAGCACACTCCCCGGCAAGTTCGCGAGTACTTGCAGACGGATTTGACTCAACAGCTTTCTGCAGAACCTCATCACTATCCATTAATGGTCGCCTGGAGCCCTTCTTCCTTTCCAACATCGTATCTCCACTGTTAAATTTTCAAACTAATGCCCCGCAATGTGCTGGTCAAGGAAACCTTTCCCTTCATATTTAATAATTTCATGGGTTGCTTCAGCGGCTGTGAAATTTTTTTTCCAGTAATGCCTTAAAATTATGAGAATTTCGAAGGACCAATTAATGTTTCTTCTATGAAACAAATAATTAAACTGAGGTTTTTTCTGAAGAAGTTGAATGGGATTAAACAAGCTTAGAGAATGCTCTAAAGGGATTGAAATGAAATGAAAATAGCCTTTACTTATGCATAAATATTACAATTTCTATGAAAACATACAATTACAAAAGAAAACAAAACAAAATAAAACAATTTTTTACATTATTATAATTTATACAAAACTTATTACTATTTTTGCATAGGCCTTCCCTTAGGAGTATTAGTCTTTAACACTTCCCTGGGTGACTAGCCCTACTGGGAAGTGGGATTTCTCACCTTTAACCATTTTTCTTTCCACATATCTCTGTCCCTAGCTGCTCTCCACCAGAGAGGTCCTGCCAAAACCCTAAATGGATCTCTCCATCTCTTCGTTTGTCGGCCTCTCATCCTTTTCCGGTCATATAGAATCCATTCAGTGACTATTTTTGACCATCTATCGTCATTGCATCGCAGGAGATGTTCAACCCATTTCCATTTGCCTTTTCTTATTTGCGAGAGTGTGTCTTTGAGCCCTGTTTCTTTTTTTATCTTCTTGCATCTGATTTTATCTATCTTTTTTTACTTTCATAATGCTTCTTTCGATGCTATTTTGCCAAACCTTGATCTTCCTCTCTTGGACTTTTGTCAATGACCATGTTTGGGAGCCATAGATCACCACTGGCATAATACATCTATCGAAAACTAGCCTTTTTAGGCTTATGTTTCCTTTAGTTATATACTTCAGAGAACAGAACTTGTTCCAACCAAATACTATTCTTCCCTGGACTTCTTTTGTAACTCTGTCTGAAAAGGAAACTAACTGTCCCAAGTAAACATATTCCTCTACGTATTCCAGGGTGAAGTTGTTCATTTTTATTTCTTCCTTTGAACTATTCGTCATTAGTTTCATCTTATTGTGGTTTGGGTATAAACCAATTTCTTCACAGGCCCCTAGAAGGTGTTTTAGAATTTCTCATAATTGTTGGAAATTGTTGGCAAAAAGTACAATGTCATCTGCAAAATGTAAGTTGCTTAAAAATCGACCATTCACCTTTATGCCTGCAATTTCCCATCCAAGAGGCCAAAAACTCATCTCCAACACCAGAATAAACAACAAGGGAGATAACGGATCCCCCTGCCTAACATCCTTCTCGATACGAAAGATTTGACCCCTCTTTTCTGTCATTACGTATGCTGACATATCTTTGTATAGCTGTGCTATAATTCTCACGTTTTTCCATTCGATTCCTATTATTCTTAAAGCTTAAAAACGCCCGTATGTAGGACACAATCGAAGGCTTATTTAAAATCGAGAAAACAGAAATACAGAGAGAAGTTATATTCTTTAACTTTCTCTATCATCTGGTTTACTGTATGAATGTGGTCCACAGTTGAAAAACCTTTTCTAAAACCTGCTTGTTCTTCCTCTATACATTCCATGATTCTTTTGGTGAGCCGTTGTTTAATGACACTGGTAAAAAGCTTTGCCATGGTAAAACAAAGGGAAATTGGTCGATAGTTTTCCATATCCTGTTTATTGCCTCTTTTGTGCAGTAGAATTATTTTTGCTGTTTTCCAGTGTTCTGAAATTTCTTCCTTTTCAACAGTTAAGTTAAATAGTTCTGTAAGTTCCCTTATGAGAACTTCTCCCCCTGTTTTTAAAATTTCGTTCGTAATATCATCCGGCCCAGGACTTTTTTCATGTTTCAATTTTTTTTTTTACAATAACAGCCACTTCCTGTTCCATTATTGGTGTGATTTGTTCTTGAACTTCATCTGCCTTTCTACTTATTTCCACTCTCTTCTAATTACATTTATAAAGATCTCTGAAGTATTCCGTTGCTACACTTCTTATATTTTTCCTATCAGTTATAACTTCTTTCTTCCTGTTTTCAAGAGCGACTATCCATTGCCTACCTTTGGACAATTCTTTTTGAATTTTTCTTGTGGAGTTATTGTTTAGAAGAATTTTAGTGACCATATCATTTTTATAATTTTCCAGATCTTCTTTTATTCTTTTCCTGATTTCATTGTTCAGAACCGTGAGATCTTTTATTTCCTTTTCAGTAATGTCTTCCCTTTCTTTTATCTTTTTATGAACTCTTAAAAATTCTTTCGTACTTTCTGATAGTTTACTTGGTTTACTCATACTGTACCCAGGGCTCAGTGCCCTTGTGTCTTCAATGGCTTTGGCAATAATATTATACTTTTCCTGAACTGAACTAAGTACTTAAACTTCTCTACTTTCAGAACTGCTGCAAATTTCTTGTGAGTTCAGCTCGAAATTTTTCTATTTGGGTTGGGTCGTGAAGAGATAAGTGCTTCTTCTTTGCCCTAAATGGTCTCCTTCTTTTATCTTTTTGATATGAAACTTTGCTCTTAACATCCTGTGATCTGTGTTGAAATTTAGCATTTGTATGACCTCCACATTTTCAACTAAACTAATTTGATTAGTCAGAAAATAGTCCAACTCAAACTTGTGTCCTTTTGGTGAGCACCAAGTCCATTTTTCTTTAAAAGAAAGAATTTCCAATTTGTAAACGTTGGCTAAGACAAAAATGGATTAACTGGTTTCCTCCTTCGTTTCTTTTACCATATCCCCAATCTCCCATAATCCTATCTTCACCATCTAGTTTAACACCAGCCCTGCCATTAAAGTCTCCCATCACAATAATCCAATTATTTTTTTGCTTAAAGCTGGAAGTAACATTGTCTAGTTCTTTATAGAACTTTTCTTTTGCTTCATAGGAATCCGGCATTGTAGGAGCATGCATTTGCAAAACAGTTAATTTTTTACTGGAAGTAATTTCTAACACTAACATGACTATTCTGCAGTTTATTTCTTTAAAATCTATTATCCTGTTTTTTAATTTATTTGATACAATAAATCCAATTCCAAACATTCCATTTTGCGATGCTGTGTGTATGAAAACGTTTCCTGATTTCTGTTCCAAAACTAAACAAAATTTCCCTCTTACTTCTGCCAGACCTATAATATCCCAATTAATATCCTCCAGAGCATGAGTGAGCTCCTCTAACCTGTCTTCACTTAACAATGTCCTAACATTTAATGTGCATACCATGAGAGTGCCTTCATCATTATTTTGAAAGTTAGGATCCTGTTTATGCTATGAACTAGTGTTTGGGGTTTCATTTTTATTATGGTCTCTATCCTCTTCTTTATGAGTCACCAAAAATTTTTCCAGACTAATAGATCTATGGTGGGTTTTAGTATCTTTCATTTTTTTCCCTTTATGAATTGGCTCTCGTTTTTTAGAAGCATTTTTCCTAGATATATATATATATATATATATATATATATACATTTTTTTTTATTTTTATTTTTTTTATAAATTTCTTGAGATTGCAATTTTTCTAGAGGAAAAAGTTGGTCGTTTATAAGAAGCTTGTCATACCTCAGTGAAGCCTTATTACCCTTCTCCCAATGTTCTCTCATAAATGGGTATAATTCTTTCTGAATTTCTCTAACACTCTTTGCCAAGTCGTCTTTTATTTTTATTTTTTTAAAGTCTTCTGATTTGCTCAGTTTACACTTATTTTTCATAATATCGCTTTTTAAGAAAATCAAATTTAACTTAACTATCACTGGACCATTTTCAACTTTAAGGTTTATTATCCTTATTTCTAATGTATCATACGTACGAAAGTTTGGTAAAATGTAGTTTAATACACTGACAGGCGAAAAATTCCACCCACTTGTTACCCATTAAGGAACCACGTTGGAAAGGTTGGAACCTCTGGGAAAAATTACAGGCTGCATATCTTTCGTTTCTTCTTCTCCACACCCTTTCACGCCCGTCTGGAGATCGAAGAGCGAATCTTGACTCATCTGTAAAAAGTACAGCACTCCATTCGTCCATAGTCCAATGGCTATGTTCTCGAGCAAAAGCCAGCCGTGTTACTCTGTGAGTTCTGGTCAACTCTGGTCCTCTTACTGGATGAAAAGCCATTAATCCATACTCATTTAATCTTTTCCGAGCGGTACGTTTAGAAATTAGCACACCTCGAACTTCTTCGAGCTGATGAATCACTTGAACAACGGTAAGGTGCCGGTTTTGTAAAATTCTCAAAGTCAAAAACCGGTCATCCCGTGGTTCTGTTACCCTTGGCCGTCCAGAACCGGGCCTTCTATTGTAAGAACCAGTTTCCCGAAAACGCCTGACGGCGTCTCGTAAAGTTTCATATGGAACTCCGATGGCATTAGCTGCATATCTAATGGAACGTCCATCATCAATAAGTGCCACACCACGCACAACATCCTCAACACTAAGAGGCATTTTTAAACTTAATATTGAAAAAATTAAAAGCCGGAGACTAAGAAATGTGCTGCAAGAAACGGCACTGAACTAATGATACTGAATAAACATTTTGATTCCATAGAATATAAACATTGGAATCTAGAATTATTTCATTGAATTAAGGATTAAGGGTTATTGTCCTCTATATTAGCATTCCTAATTGAAAACAAACAAAAAAATTACCTATTTATTCATTAAAAACAATAGACCAATCCAAAGCAGAAATATTTTTAGATGAAAACATGAAAAAATCAAGTGGGTGGAATTTTTGGCCTGTCAGTGTATTTCTATTACCCTATTATTTACATCTGAATATTTTTTTTTTATTTAAACTAAATATAATTATATGTTTCCTTCTAGTGAAATTTTCCTCTCTTTCCCTAAAGTTTTTAATGTTATTTGTTATTTCTTCAACCTGTGTTTTTATCTCTCTAATTTCTTCTTCGTGATTTTTTCTGTTTTCGTCTAGTTTCTTTTCTAAACCTGATATTTTTTCTATTAATATGTTAAATTTCTCTTCTATTGCTGCCATGGGGATTTGAAAATTTATAACAAACAGTACAAAAACCAAAATCAAATATAGATGTTATTATCGATAATGGATAGATACGTAAGTATTTACGTAACTACTATTTGACGGCCTAACACAATGAATGGAACGGTCCTACAGCTGAGGTGGGGAGCTTCCCATTATTCAATGATTTCTCAAGTTTTTTTTTTTTTATTAATTTCTTGAACTTAGTTATTTCTTCTATTATATAATATATATATATATATATATATATATATATATATTTTTTTTTTTTTAATTTCTCGTATTTTATATATCTTCCTCTACATACTGTCTATGTCTATCATCGTCCCTTTGAATATTGTCAAAGACTAAACATCTGTCGGTCAGTAAGTTAAAAAAGGTGAAACAGAGCAAAATTAAAGATTTTTTTAAAAGTTAAATAATTACATTTAGCATTAGCATAGGATCAGCATGAATAAGTCTGACCATCCAAAGTAGAAGAGCTCTATAACCAGGAATTTCTTCATTACGCTCCTTAAATTTTGGTACTGATTCCTTACTCTTCAGGGTAAGAGACTAAAACAGTGTTGAAAAACGTATATAAATTAAAAGTATAAAATATATACCATTATTCAAATATAAAATATTAAGATGTTCTTCAAGAACAAGGAAAGTGGTTCTACTTTATGATCAAAAGATGAGAAAACTGATCTATAGAATAATTCTCAAGATAACAAATTTTTATTCCTAAGCAATTTTCTAGAAAAATACTTTAAAATATCCAACTAAGAAATCATGCAAAACTTCTAGTGAAGAATTGCAAAATTATAAATTACACAATATAAATTTTGTAAGTTAGGTCAGAAACGAGATTCACAAGAGTTTAGTTTTTAGCATGTTTACCTGTATCATTCGAAGAGGAGTATGTGAAATAAACCCCTGTGCAACCTTGTTTAATGTATCAGTGAACATTGACCTAAGTTCTGAAGACTTACAGTAAATAATATCTATCTGTGGCCACCAATGTAATCTTGGTTGTGTTATTATACTGTAAAAAAAAACAAGACAAAAAAAAATTAAGCTAAATGTAAGTTTTTATATAAATAATTTACCTCTGAACTAAAGAAACCAGTAATTGCTATAACCTCCTTCATAAATCTCTATATTTAAAACAGATTTACCATAATGGAAATAAAAATAAAAACACAATATAAATTAAAATTTATAAATTATAAAAACTCAACGTGTTTAACACTACTAAAACAACGCTTATATGAAACTTGTATTGTTGCGAGATGAAAATGTTTGCGAGCTGCTGAAGAAACAAAGTAATACAGTTTAACAGTAACTTAACTAGAGCCATCTATGGACGAATTCCGGTTTCATATTTACACACCTAATGAATATAATCCAATATAATGAGTAGTATAATAAGACATTACTGCTGTGCCAGATTCTAAATATTGCCATACTGAATGCTTGTGCCCAAAACCAAAAATGACCTATTATATTCCAGCTCAATAGTATTAAAATGTTGTCTGGGATTACATTTAACAGCACATTTCTAAATTGTATTTGGAGTGGTTTATTCTTTTGCGCTGTTCACATTAATTTATTGCGTAGATGTTTTTCTTCATATTATAATAATGGTTTATTTTGATTTAACGGTTTATATTGATATAATTATACGATGTTATTATATTACTTTTTTTTTATATACCTGCAATAATCCAGAATTTTGGTAATTCGACATTGCGAATCACGGCAAAGCTTTAAAAAATGTCCAAGTGAAAATAGTGTTGTTTCACTTTGCCTTGGATAGCTTTAAGAAAAATTCTGAACAATTTCACATCGAATGGCTAATTGACGTTTAAAACAAATACAATTACCCATGTCAAAACAAATAATTTTTGTTTAAAATATTTCTTTTTAAACACCTTATGAGCCAAAATAATCTTGTACGGTTTATTTTTTCCTGAAGAGAGGATGTCATAATTGCCAGGGTGTGCAACAAGTCTGTGCTAACGATTAAAATCCAAATTTTTATATTGTTTTGTAAAAAAAAAAAAAGAATCTATTTAACAATACAAAGCTTGGCCAACTCACTTACTATAGAATTAAAATTCTCCTAACGCAATGTAAATAATTAAATAAGAAATAAATAAACATAACGCTTGTTAGAAATAATTTTATTTTTGACTGAGAAATATTCCAGGTCTTCCCTTGTAGGGTATCATTCACTAAATGAGTTTTATTTCTGGTTATCTCGCCCAATTATTGCAAAAGAATCATAGATTTTTTCTATGAAGTGATGTTTAAAATATTCAATGATTTCTCAAGTTTTTTTTTATTAATTTCTTGAACTTAGTTATTTCTTCTATTATGTAACATATATATATATATATATATATATATATATATATATATATATATATATATATATATATATATATATATATTTTTTTTTTTTAATTTATTGTATTTTATATATCTTCCTCTACGTACTGTCTATGTCTATCATCGTCACTTTGAATATTGTCAAAGACTAAACATCTGTCGGTCATTAAGTTAAAAAAGGTGAAGGCAGCGCACAGCACTATAAGGGGACGGGTTTCCACCAGCAACGTTGGCTCACACTAGCGCCAACTCGCACCGCAGTTCTTCACTGATATAGTACACAAGCTTCTAAGGGAGATTGTGCAATGAACTCGAGCGCAAACTATTAAAACATTATTATTTTTGTAGATATTTTTAAAGTAGTTGTGAGTAGGGATTTTTAATATTTTAAATACTGCTGAAAAGAGGGACCACCTGATACCAATGTAGCTGATTAGAATTATTGGGCACTATTAGAACTATTAACATCATATATCGTAAAGAAAAGTGATTGCAGAACTGCTAGAAGAAACATTTATGAGTTCAAAAATAGTTTGGAACTAAACTAAAAAATTATAAAAATATATTAAGTATACTGTTTCTAGAAGGTTCTAATAAAAATATATATGTTTTGGATAAAGGGTATTAAGACCATTTATTTTGGCTTCCATTAAGACCATTTTTACAAAATCGATAATTATAAAAATGTACCGATTTGTGCCAAAAACAGTTATAAAAAAAAATTTGTTTATTTGGGGTTTAGTAGGGCGTGAAATAGGCAGTTCATCAACGCCTGTTGGTTTTTTGAAATTGGTTGGAGTTTGTTGGTTATCCACCATTCTGAATTTGACATAGCAATAAGTGAGAAACGTTTCCAGGCCCGAATGGGCCAGCCAGAGTTCAGAAGTGCATAAGTCTCTCACGTCAGATGGTGGTTTGTAGATGTTGGGGACAGGAGGATTAATCAGAGGATGTGGATAAAAATCATGTAAGCCATCTTAAGTACACTAGTATATTCCAATAATGTTTACAATTGTACAATCATGGCAAAGCCCAAACCCTATAAAAAATATTGTATGTAATATGTGAAAATAATTTTTAAAAATTTTATCCGACTACTTTTCAAAAATCAAATGTTTTAAAAGAAAATAAAGAAGAATCAGGAGTAAAAAACAAACTCCCATTGCGTTTGATTTATGTAGACCTGAAGCCATCACAAAGTATTAAAAAATAAATGAAATGAAAAGAATAAAAAATGTGTAAAAGTAGAAAAACCACACGACAATCTTCCAGTGCATCAATGGCCTTACATATGGCCTCTGAAATGCGGTGAATAACACAACTCTGCTGAGTGAAAAAAAACCAACACAAAATATTGCAGTTTGTGTCATATACCTGAAGGGCAATCTGGCTACAGAGGTTGTGAAATCCATAAGAATCTCATATCTAGACAACAGATACTCCGGAGCAAAATTAAAACAATCTGATCAAGGAGAGAATTATATAAAATCGTGGACTCAGTGGTGTCGCTGCCACAATTAGTCAGAGGTGGAAGCAAAAGCAATAGATATTAGGCCCTGCCGCTTCACATACCACAACTTCCTCAGCCTTAAACTCAACATCCTATTATTCAAAATATACCTAATCCTCAACATAAACATCAAATTCTCACTTTATCAAATACCACAGATCACACCAGTTTATTAACATCGTTCCTCTCTGTATTCAAACCCCTAGTTACTCATCTGATATCACGTTTAATAAAGAATTCCATTTCGTCCCTTCTTAATAAAATCCTTAAATAACTTTCAAAAAATAAGTATCCATTCTCCTTTCAAATGCGAATGATATTAAAAATCATAGCAATGAACTAACTTTCTAAACCTTATTGCTCGACAAAATCGTTGATGTGAACTCGACTAACCTCGAAATAGTTTTTCAAAATACCGCAATACTTGGCGTACCGAACCGACCAACCTTGCGGGAGAGCATATGCCGGTACTGCTGTAATGGTTCATCAGCCTCTTTCTCATCTTCTTCTTCCTAAGCTTATTCATGATTTCCTAGAAGCCACCATTGTAGTTATCAAGAATTGCTGCTATTTACTCACACTAGCTCAACATATTGCCCTCCTAGCCAATCTATATCCAATATACAGTTCACTCTGCTCCTCAATTACTCAGGACATTTTCTTATTTTATGTGTAGATTTAAACACCAAGCATCAAAACTGGGGTTCCAGAACCACAAATTCACGTGGACAAACATTACTGTCTGCACTGAATTCCCATCGTTCAACCTTCCTTCACTTAGCTCTCCTACCTAATTTCTCACCGTATCCAGATATCTGTGATTTAAAACAGCAGCTTAGGCCCCCTCAATTACACATCTATATGAATTCAGCTATGATCATAGACCTCTCACTCTCCAAGTTTTACTAGCTCCCATTCCTTAAACATTTCCACTGTTTTTCATTAGAAGTATAGTTAGCTGGAACCTCTTTCGTCAAATCCTTTCTGACAAAAATTACCTTAGATATCCTTTACTAGTATTACCCAACAAGCTGTCTGGACTGCCTCCTCCCCAATCGAGTCCTCCAGAATTCTTTTTGAAAATACTTTACCTCGACATCTTACGGATATGATGCATTATAATGCCGAGCCAGATAATTATGCCAACGTACCATAGGATAGCAACTATCATTGCTATTATACTCCAAACAATTTTTATTTTATTTTATTTATGATATTTACAACTGTATTAAGAAAAAATACATTCAGTAAATTTGATAACAGTATATAAAAACATAAAAACACTTGTTCAGAAACTACCCACTGGTAGCACTCTAAAAAAAATGTATTTACAATAGGAGGTCTCGAGGCCATCTTCTTTTCAGACGCCACGGAGGGTTATCAGGAATCAAGGAGGAAGCAAGGTTAGAAATGAGAGGGTTCGGATGGTTCTGAAGTTTATTATGGAAGGATAGGTATCTGGATTGGGCCAATTCTGAAACAAAAGGAACATTAAGATCTTTATGGATGATTTTATTAGTGACAAAGTAAGGAGCATTTAGGATTTTACAAAGGATTTTGGATTGTAAGGATTAGATACGTGAGGAATTCGATGGCTTTGTGGACCCCCTAATCTCAACTCCGTATGTCCAAATTGGTCTTATTGTAGTCATGTATGAAATGAAAAAATAATTTTATTCTGGGACTACTGTCCCCTAAGAATAATAACAATAATAATAAGAGTTACAAATTTATGGGTCTTAGTCTGACATAATAATAAAAATACAAACTAATTTACTGTTAATTGTTATTTCAATTGTGCAATAGATTGAAATTAAACAGTGCACAGATGCAAGTAATTTTACATGTTATGGGAAGTTTGAATGTGGAGTAGGTGGTGGAACAGGAGTTTTTTGAAGGAATTTGTGGACGAGGATTGACGCATGGAGGTAGGAAGTGAGTTCCATAAGGAAGCAGCACAAATGACGAAGGATTTGCTGAAGGAGGAAGTTTTATGGGAGGGGATATATGTCTATAGGTTGAAATCTAGTATTGAGAGAGTGGATAGAGGAGTGTAGAGTAAGGAGTTCCAGGATGTAGGGAGGGTTTTTGGTTCTGAAGACTTGGAAAAGGAAAACACCAAGGAGGAATTGTAGGAGGAA